GGCAGCAAGGTTTGTATCATAACAAGGTCATCCCTAGCCTCACTCCCGCTCAAAGGCTTGGCAAGAACCAAGATCTGTCGGTGGTACCGACAGATCGAAACAGACCAATCACGACCGACTTACGTCACTTGAGTCTTACAGCCAATAACATCACGGCAAAACCAAGCGATCATTTCACGCGAACTGGAATAAGAACATTCTACTGACAACAATCATTCACTTGACTCTGATGATGACTTCTGCACAGGTTGTCGAAACGTCAGTCACTACCACCGACAACAGTCCTTCTCAGGACTACACTCACACGGACGATCAGACTACACCTTCATATTGGGATAGTATTCCAGTGCTCTGAGAATCGTTTTTAAACGGTCTCTTCTTGGTTTCAAACGGTTTCAAACGGTCTCTTCTCGGCTAAAAAAAACCCTCGTTCACCGTTATTAATTAACCCTCGTTCACCGTTCACTGATTCCGTTCCGGAATGGTGAATGACAGAAAAACTCAACATTACGTTCAATTCTTCCGATAACTGAAAACGCACGCCAAATTCAATGTTCACCCTTAGTAAAACTCAAGAACAACACGAAGTTCATGGCATGTTATCCAGCACTAGGAAAATACCAATGAATAGCCTGTTTTTCTGCATGTTTTTCTATAGTTTTCCCGTGTGTGCGAATGTTGCATTTTCCTACGGAATAACTAACGGTGAATGCCATGAAAACGCGATGTTTGTCGATTGTTTTCAAAAACGACTATTGCATTTACTGCAACGGATTCTGTCAATATTTTTAAGATTTATGGAAAGACTGTTGCTAACTTTGATTTTATCAGTTCAGTCAACTGAAATCGCTTGAAGTCGCCTTAAACTGAAACGCCAAAAGTCGCAATGTTTTTTTCTGCCAATTTTACTTAAGTCGCCGTAAATCGCCCAAAGTCGCCCAAAGTTACGGCGACTTCAGGCCCCAGAGTAGGCCTATAGTTTTCCCGAGCGCACGAATGCTGCATTTCCCGAGCGTTTTCCCGTGCAATTACCGACGTAAATGCATGAAAATATGATGTTTTGTTGACTGTTTTCCTGCTCTACGAAAACGCTAATGTATAGCTTGTTTTCCTGAACGTTTTATAAGTATAGTTTTCCCGAGCTTACGAACGCTGCATTTTCCGAGCGTTTACTCGCATATTTACCAACGGTAAATGTCATGAAAACATGATTTTGTTGATTCTTTTCCTGC